CTGGCCGTTCGGGCATTCCCTTGTTATAGACGGCGAGGTCATCACCGGATAAACACCCGTCATCTGGAACAGGTTGTTCAGGCTGCTTAACCTTCGAATTAATGGTATCAGGTATTTGGGATGATGAACCCCCAGATTTGTCAATAGGTGGTTTTCCTCTGGAACGGTGAATAAGCGGCATGTCTTCTTCTTCTGAAGAACCGGTGAAAAAGAACATAAAGCACAAGAAGCCTGAGGATTTCTAGAGAGAGAAAGCTTAAAAAGAAAAATAAGGAAACAACAAGAGAAATGAGGAGCAAGCACCTCTCTATAAATAGGGAAAGTGTCTCCCAAAACCCTAATCCATAAACAACACGTGGCACTAAGTGGTTATGATTAATCCGGGTGTATTTATGGTTCATCGTTAGGCATGTACCCCGAACGGGCAATAAAGAAGCATGATTGCGAGTACTGGTTAACCATGCAAGCGAACGTTGAACGGGCACTTACGTTTTGAGGAAAATCTTTTCACACAAAGAAAAGCAACGAGGTCCATGGGAATAGCTAAAAACTACTCAGATCGCTGATTACTGAACCACGAGCCAAATAACTAAGATGTTTCAATTTATCCGAGTGACGAACGGGCTCACAGAGAATTAGCAAAGATCACAGAGAGTTGCTGGTTGGAAAAAATGCTAAGTCCTAAAAATGATCGGAAGCCCGAACGGCTATCAACATATGAAGGAAGCCAAGTGCGGGTAGACTATCAGAAACATCTGAAGCCAGAAAAACTGCTAAGTCCTAAAAAATGATCTGAAGCCCGAACGGCTATCAACATATGAAGGAAGCTAAATGCGGTAAGTTGACAGAAACGTTTAAAGCTAGGAAAAATTGCTAAGTCCTAAAAAGAAGGGGGCTAGTCCTTGGTAAACTGTCAGAACCCTCCACTGCCCGAGCGGCAATCATACGATGTTAGGAGTGTTAAGTAAAAAATAGTCAGAAAATTGTTAAGTCCTACAAAACGGGCCGAATCCCGAATGGTGAGCAATCATTCAATAAACGCAAAAAAGACAGTATAAGAAGCTTTGTGCAAAACAAAAGATCTGTATTCATCGGCTCTACTGGCCGGGAAATACAAGCTACTTGAAGAAAAGAGAATTACAACGATTAATAAAAAATTAAATATCTAGATTATTGGCCAGGGGGCATCTCCTCTCCATCTTCATCCTCGTCTTCATCATCATCAGACGGGGGTTCAGGCTCTCTCCCAGCAGCCCGGTCAGCTTCCCGTTGCATATCTCGCTGAAATTTTTCAAGTTGAGCTTGTATGACTTCATCCAAGGGAAGATCAGAAGCCTGAACCGGCCTCTCAAGATTATTTTGAAGTTGGGCCACAAAAGGACGTAGTAGGACCTGGCCGATCTTGGCATAAAGATCTGAAACAATGGAGTCATTCCATTTCTTGCTCTCAGGATCCTTATCCAAAAGAGCCACCCCTGCCGAGAGCCGACCAGCACCCCTAGGAAACCCCTTCAGGTACGCTCCAAATGCGAACGAGATTTGCGTCCTGGCGTGATCATCCTTGATGATGGAGAATTCATCGGAGGATTTGAATGATTCCCGGACAGCGGATAGATCCACATTCACCTCATATAGGCCGTCCGGGATGCTAGAAGGCATCTCCTCAAATTTGATTTGTGCAGCCTCGGCAGCGATGACCTTAGCTTGGGAAGCAGCAAGTTGGACCCGAAGAGTACCAAGCTCAGTATCCAGCTTTTGTTTTTCCTCCGCAAAAGCTTTCCGTTCGGCCTCCAGGGATGTGATGGCAGTAGCAGCAGTTTGCTCAGCAGAGGATTGAGCAACAATTAATTCCCGTACCTTGGCCAGACGGGCTTCCCGCATTTGCAAGGTGTACAAACCCATCTACAAAGCGTCGTTCGAGAGTTAGTACTGATTACAGAGAATAAAATGGGAACGAAGCACAAAAGATAATATACCTTCAGTGCGGTCAAGGCCAGGCACTCTTCGGATTGCTCGACTGGTAGTTGGGGAAGAGAGAAGTTGTTAAACCAGGAGGATGTTGACCAGATCTGGCTCGCGGAAGAACCAGCTCTCTATAGTACCTCATGAACAGGATCCGACAAAGAGATCCGTTCGACCTGACCAGTGATATGGTCGGTATGAAGCCCACCTACGTTCGAGGTTGCCCCCTGAACGGAATCAAAGTGTTGGGAAAACTGGTGCAGCTGATCAGAACCAAATCGGTCATCAATCATCATGGCATCATACTGATCCTGACCAGAAAATTGCTGAATAGGCTCCGGTTGCTGAACGGCCGGTGTAGGTTCGGGTTGTGGAGCAGTAGTGGTAGGTGAATCAACTTTGGGATTTTTCTTCATTTTCTTCTTCTTTTTCCCGACCCCGCCAGCAAGAAGCACACGGATGTCATCCATAGTGGCGTCTAGATTGGGAGCTGAAAAATGACAAAGGGAAATGTTAGTACCGAGCGGCCTTAGCATGTGAGAAACTAGTAAAAAGAAGGGAACGTTTCTCGCACGGGAAGGACCGCCCGGACCATGGCACTTGATTCTCAAAACAAGTAAACCCAAGAAAACGGGCAGTACCTATCCCGGCTTTAACTAGCCGATCGGGAGTCAGGTAGGTCATGATATCACAACACTTGTCCTTCTCCACAGCGAGTACATCCTTATAGATTTCCTCAGTGAGAACTAGGTCGGGAGTCTTGCGGGGGAAGGCTTTCCATTTACGAGGGATCAACCCGTCCAGGATAGACACGAAGAAAAACCTATCTTTCCATCCCTTGATTGAGGTTGGATTGCCTTTGAATAGAAAATGGCCCGTTCGGGAACTAGCGGCTAGATACCCATGAGTTTGTTGGGGGGCTACTTTGAAAAATTGATGAAATAAATCTAAGGTCGGCGAAGCACCGACATCTTTACAACGACATATAAAGCCCGCCATTGCCCGATAGGAGTTCGGCATGACTTAGGTAGGTACAATTTCATAAAAATTAAAAAATGAAATAAAAAAGGGGTGTAACGGAAATCTAAGCCCATCCCTCACTGAATCAAAATGGACCACGACCATCCCAGGGGCGTGACGCAAGGGATGAAGCCCAGCTTGCAATCGAAAGTCCATTGGGTCTGGGATTAGGGCCGGAATTTCGGCCCTATTATTGGCAGTCAATTTCTGCTGTCTTGCCCTAATTAAACCTAGGTCGAGTGAATGACGGGGGACATCTTTTGGCCGTCCAGCCGCCATTAAATCCATTTCATCCTCAGATTTCGTGCCATCAGAGCTTTCACCAGAGGAAGATGAACTGCTAGGAAGGTCCTCCGCCTCCGCCCTAGTATTTGTCGCCGTTTCAGTGGAACCACCGGCGAATGGGACTATGATGACGTCCACAATAGCAGCGTCACGGTCATCTCCATGGGAGGCCATCTCCGAATCAGGGGAATGCCGTTGAGAACTCATCTCGACCGAGCCAGAAATGAGGAGAGAAAATAGAGGGAGGGAAGGTACCTGAGCGACGAAAGCTGGAAGAAATTTCAGAGAGAGCAACGATGCGAGGGAGATTGCAGAATCGAAACCCGGATTTGAAAACTTAAAGGCTAATTTATAGCCTTTAAACCGCCGTATCGAGGACCAATCAGGAAGCGACACGTCATCAGAAGCATTTAAGCTAAACGCGTGTCCAATGAAAAGACTAAACGACGGTTATCATGATGAATATGGGGAAATAAAACGACAGCCGTCAAATCACAGTATGGGGAACTGACTACTTCTGTACCCCGATCGCCATTCGACAAATTGCAACATTGGTGTTCATACTTCCTAATGCACTCACTGTCATTCGAGACATCGGAAGTGGGGGACTTGTGTTGGTCATTGACTCGAATGCCCAATACCCGGATCAAACAGGCTCAGGATACCCGACCCAAACAATGAGTCCACTACCCTATGATGAGTAGATTCAGTGAATAATTCATACCGAACGGGGTTCGATCCCAGTAAAGGCCGGCCCAGAAAGAAGGTGTACCAAACGGAGTTCGGACTATATATCATACTTGGGCCAATTTGGCAGTGTCTTCAGCATGGTCCAACATCCCGTTCGAGCAATGGACAACCAGCAAGTGGCCAGGTGCAATTAATGCCAGATTGTGACATCAGCAAGTGGAAACATGGATGACCAAGTCGGTGGAACAACAGCCAATCAACATAGAGCAGCCCATGCTCTCTATTAATATAAATAGAAGGTTTAAAATCATTGTAAGGGTTAGCATTTCAATACTCAGGCTCTAGAATAGCATTATTACTCTTGTTTCTTGTATTAAAGCATTGTTCTGACTTACCGATCGGGAATTTCCTTGTAATCACACAGGTTAATTAATACAAGTGGGCTTTTGAGTATTAGTGAGTTCATATTTTATATTTGGTTATACACTTTGATTCTAGACCATTCCTGATATATCCAAAGTTCGTGTTGGGCTTTCGGATCTACGAGACTTACCTTCAACAATTGTATATTATTATTTTACACATTCAAATATGTCTATTATCGTATTTATACAACTATTACGTTGAATGATATACTAGTATAACTTTGGATGATATTTTTACCAATTACCATTTTATTTATCACAATTTCAACAATAATAAATTAAAATCCGAATGGATCCGAAACCCGAATCAACTCGACCGCAACCCGAATTTCTTCGACCCGAAAAAACCGATAAATTTTTTGATATGGTAGAGTTTGAAATTATTAATCTGATACCCGAATGGGTTTATCATTTTTGAACCCGACCCGCCCGAACCCGACCCGTGCTTTGCCCTACTTGTAATTTCAGTTTGGTCTTCGATCCAATGACTTTTTTCATCGCGGTTCCGGTCTAAACCAGTTCCGATCCAATCCTGTGAGTCTTCGACTCGTGCTCACCCAACTTTAAAGACCCGTTCCAACTTCCAAGTCAACTCTTTCCCGCTCAACCTCTGACCATGTCAAATTGCTTTTACGTCTATAAGAATTAAGAAATGCCCCGCCATTGTAAGCACCTACACACCCAATATGGATCGCATAGTAATGTTTTCGCTGTCCTCTGTACTACTCATAACGCTATTGGGTGACGCCGCCATCCACGGCTGCGACGCAGTCGAATACACCGTCACCAACACGGCGGTGAACACCCCCGGCGGCGCCCTTTTCGACAGAGACATCGGAGAAGAATACACCAAACAGACTCTCGACTCAGCCACCAACTTCATATGGCGGGTCTTCCAGCAGAACTCCCCCGTTGACCGGAAAGGCGTCCAGAAGGTCAGCCTGTTCGTGGACGACGCGCTGGACAACGGGGTGGTGGCGTACGCGAGCAACAACGAGATCCACGTCAGCGGCAGCTACATCGGCGGGTACTCCGGCGACGTGAAGGGGGAGTTCACGGGGGTGCTGTACCACGAGATGACTCACATCTGGCAGTGGAACGGAAACGGCGCCGCTCCGGGGGGTTTGATAGAAGGGGTGGCCGATTTCGTGCGGCTGAGAGGCGGGTATGTGCCGAGCCACTGGAAGAAGGCGGGGGAAGGTGCCCGGTGGGACGCCGGATACGACGTGACGGCGCGGTTCCTGGATTACTGCAGTGATTTGAAGAGTGGGTTCGTGGCTGAACTCAATGGGAAGATGAAGGATGGTTACAGTGACAGTTACTTCGTGGATATTGTGGGAATATCCGTTGACCAACTCTGGACGGATTACAAGGCTAAATATAACACTGCTTGACTTGCACGGCTTAAATTTAAGGAAATTGGATTTAGGAGTAATTATCATTTTACTTCAATAAGGGTAGAAGAAACGGTCCAATCCAATTGATCGCTGGCTCATCTCTCATACATTGTAATATTGTCATATTTAAACTTCTATGATTTGAGAGTAAGATACTAAAGTTTGGTGCTTTGGTGCTCTTGTTTAGTGAAAAGTATACTATCGTATTACTTTGAATGTGATTTTACTCCCATTTCAAGTGTTTTCCTTTTCAAATTACTCCCTCCGTTCCATTGAACTTTGCCAATTTTTCTTTTTTGGTTGTTCCAAAAAACTTTACCATTTTTTTAATAAAGAAACTAATTTGTGTTATGCACATTTCTCTCATCTGCACAAGTCTCAACCACACAGTTTTTACTTTTCTTGTTTCTCACCTACTTTGCACTTGGCAAAGTCTACCGGGACGGAGGTAGTATATATAAGCTCGTACTCACAATGGCAACTTGGAAATGACGATGTAGAATCGAAGCCACGATATGGAGGCAGGGCCACTAGTCACCTCTGCCGCATCAAGGGGCGGAGCCAGGACACTGGATCGAATTAGACTGGTACAAAGAATATTTTTAGAAAAAAAATTACACGAAATTTTTTACATTAAAAATTAAGCCATTTTTAAAATTTGGGGTGGACCATGGCTTAGATTGACCCACACCTAGCTCCGCCCATGGCCGCATCTTTATCCTTCTTTGTCGCGTTAGAGGCTCAATTGGAGCAAAGGAGATGAACAATTTGGGTGGAGCTGAGAGACGAAAGGTTTGGGGCCTTAATTTGGACGGCCGAAAAAGGTTACGGATGTTTGACACCTTTCAACTCATTTTTTTTCACCCTAAATTAGTCACAATTTTATCGAATGAAATCCAAGAAGTAATATTTAGGCCATCATTTCCATTATTTCATACTTCCTCCGTCCCACTTTAGGCCAACTTTCCTTTTTTGAATGTTCTACTAACTTTGTCACTTTCCCCTTTAAGTAAAGAATTTATGGTATCAGTTAATTCTCTTTTCTCACAAACTTCAATCACACAATTTTTACTTTATTAATCCACGTGTCGGTCAAACTTGACAAAGTTTTAAAGGATGAAGGGAGTAATATGTTACTCTCACTTTGTAATTTTACTCCTATCTCAAGTGTTTTTCTTTTTAAATTATAAGCTTGCACTCCTAATTTTGTGCGCCAAAACTATAGCTACTTGAGTATATTTGCCGTACGAATGGGAGTATCGGTGAATTATTATTAACCTAATTAGTCAACACTTAGGTATTGGTAGTTTTTTTTTTGAAACCTCGTATTGATAGATTTTTGTTCACTATGTTGTGTAGTAATCAAAATCAGGAAGATACGCGTTATTTTTCTGGCTGTATTGACTGAATTTGTTGTATAAGAACATTTTAGTTATTCTTCATATACGAAGTAATTTTTTCTGAACTTTGTTAGTAAAATATACTATGTATTTCATATTACCATAGTTCTTCAAAATCGCTCATTCCAACCACTTTAGCGAGATAGATTTTGAGTAGAATTATTCGATTCGATCAATTTCAGTGTTACCAAACAGACTCTAATAATGGTTGGGATATAAAATGCAGGTTCCTCCGTCAAAAATAAAGATGGAAGGAACAAGTAAATAATATACAATCTAAATATATTCTAGAGTGAAAATACAATTTGTGATTGGACAAAAAATTACTCCCTTCGTCCTTTATAACTTTGGCATCTTTTCTTTTTTGATTGTCCCAAAAACTTTGTCACTTTCCATTTTAATCGATGAATTTGTTGTTCTTGTTATGTCTCTCTTCTCTGCACAAAAACTCAACCACACAGTTTCTACTTTATTATTTTTCGTGTCGGTCAGAATGACAAACTATTGAGGGATAGAGGGAGTATTGTAAAGGTTCAAGTTTGGTCATTGGATTGCCACCACCACCAATGACCTGCACTCATTATAATGGGAGAATTAAAACGACGTACAATTAATTATAGACTACTACTTCCGTCCCGCTAAGATTGTCCCATTTTACCTTATCGGACCATCCCACTAAGTTTGTCTCATATCAAATTTGGTAAAGTTTGTGTGACTCTAAATCATTTTTACTTTATTCATAGTTTATCAATTCAATATCAACCACATTGATGGAGTATATGGCCCGGGAACCCCCGCCCCACAGACTCCTACTACTACAATCAAGGCCCAACAGGCCCAGAAGGCCCGACAGGCCCAGAAGGCCCAACGGGTCCAAATCACAGCGCCCAGAGTACCAAGCAGCCCACATGCGCGCCAGGGGTGCCTTCAGCCCCCTGACCGAAGACTCTAACTCTCACAGGAGGGTCAGGACAGCAAAACAAAGTTACTTGAAAAAACGGCGAGAATCAGTAGCCCTCGGCAGCTGGAGCCCTCGACACCAAGGGGGTCCCCTGTACTCAGAGCCCTCAGCCAGTCCTCTACAGCCGAGGGCGCCTCTTCCGACACGATATCCGCTCCACATGCGTACAGATCACCGTACCCTGTACAACGTCCCATCCAACAGCCGCATTAAATGTGGCCACATGCGGTTGCCAGCGCCAACCAGTTGAGGTGACCCCTCGGCCAATGAACGCTTGACACGTGTCCCTGTCCGGCATTTATTGCTACTATAAATAGCACCTCATTTCCCCATTTGTAACCACGCTGAAATCGTTAAACACTTTACAATATACTCTCTCTATATATATTTACTGGCTGTGACTTCTCTCTTATTGTTCTCCGTAATAACCCCTCGGATGAGCTACCTCTCGGGCACACTATCCATCACACATAAACAATTTTTTATTAATTTGCGTGACACTTTCTCTTGTCCCATTGTTAGCGGGACGGAGGGAATATTATTTAGGAACTTTGGTTATATTTTAGTCACATTAGTACCATTTCTTTTTATTCAAGTGACACGTAAAGCTGTAGTTACGTTAACAGTTGATGAATATGTATTTTGACTCATCGATCTCTTTACATCAAATGATTACTTTCATAGTAATCAAAATAAGTAAGGTGTTGAAGTTACTTTCAGATTAAAGTTATTGGAGTTACTCATCACTTTCAACATGTTCAATCGATTCAGCCAATTTCAATTTTATCACATGAGTGTTGGTGCCTCCTGGTTTTTTTCTTATAACCAAGGGAGAATTCCTTAAATATGAGTAAAAAAGTTTTAAAATTACAAAATAGGACTATCATGTGTTTTATTCCTTGAATAGGAGTAAATTTCAGCCAAGTATGGCATTACTAGGCTTTAAAACATTACATTTTTTCAAACTTAGCAGATTACTTCTATTCAGGAAATAAAAAACATGATACTCCTATTTTGGAATTTCAAAACGTTTTTACTTCTATTTAGAGCAATTTCTATATAACAAACTAAAAGCATATTTTCAAATATGCGCTTTTATTTAAATTAATCATTTTACAATTTAAAATCAAAAGTGAAAATATTTTTCACATTTTTCATTATCCAAAGAAATTACCTCTTTACCAAATACTCTAATTGTTACATTTTCAAAATCAATATTCTTCAAAATAAAAGATAGAGCTTTTCATTAAATGTTATCAAAGTGAAGCTACTTTCCAAAAATGTGACCACTTTAAAAAAAGATAAAAATGCGACGAAGGACACATATTTGGATAAACATGATGTCATTGTCGTTATTTATATCACTATGATTTTTATGTCACTGCCATTGTATGTCACTATTAAATGTCACTACCAGATTTTTGTCACTTTTGAATGTCACTTTTGCCGTAAAATATGTTACTATGACCATCGACAACCTTTTCCGGTGAAACAGTACACCACCACTAGCCATCACCATCACTGACTCGCCGCCGCTCTATAGTGACCACCCGTCCCGACACCTCACCCTTGACACACTCCGACAGCCACCACCACCCAAAGCCATCGGAAACCACTGGTCACCACCGACCATGACTAGCCGCCGCCATCCAATGACCAACTGCATCTCACCGGCGGCCAAGGGCTTCATCTCTAGCTTCTCCTAACCCCCAAACTCCCCTGCCACCGCCAGGCCCCGATGCCACCGACCACCACCGCCCCTACCTAGCCATCTCCCCCAAGGCCCCTTTACACCCCCAAACCTAGCCCTGCCGATATCGATTCTTTGTTGCGTCACCGCCCCATCCTAGCTGTGAAGTGTTAGACGATGATGAACCCAGGGCCGATCCTGTCTATTTTCGGGCCTATGGGTAAGATAAAATTTTGAGCTTATATTCAAGACAAGCAATAAACTATACTAATTCAAAATAGTAATTATAATAGAATCATCTAATAAAGGTCATAAAATAAAAAAGAATCCCATTTTATTGTTATCATTTAAAATGCATATTTGGTGAAAAGTAACAACACAAGTATCACATAAAAGAAAAACATTACTTAAAAATCATTCCCGCAGAACAATGTGAAGCAAAATCATTCATAATTGCTTCATAATCAGCTTTTTCCAATATCTCATGCTCAATACTTAAATTTGCTAACCCATTAAGTCTTTCTTGAGATATAGTCGATCGCAGATAATTCATCAGAATCTTCAACTTTGAAAAACATTACTTAAAAATGTTTCTCGCGAAATTTCCAAGATTCAATTTGTTAATAAGAACAAATCTTCCATTGACCCCTTCTAACTTAAGCCTACCTTTTCTAATCTTCTCCTCTATCTCTTTTTATCCCAACTTGATTCACCCATTTTATCAAGAATGATTTATCGGTCATTATTGGATTGTTTGAAGCATTGAAAGAAGAAGATTTTTGATCACCGGTCACCGTTTAGCCTCCTCGACTGATTGGCTTCTTAATAAACCACTGAGGCACTCACCGCTTTGCATCGTTCTTTAGTCTTGATTTTGGAATTTGGAAACAACAAATCAATTTGGATGGATTTTGCCAATTGGGAGTTTTGGAATTGGAAGACTTAACATAACTTGGTAATATTGTAATTAAAAGGATTATAAAGTATAGAGATGTGAAGACAATTAAGATAGACGTGTCTCTTTACATTTATTTTAAAAATTAAACCTTGGGCCTAATTAATTGACCTAATTAATTGAGTTTAAAAATTTAAAAAAAGAAATCTACTCACGCTACATATAAAGAAGGATTTTTTACAAGAATATTACTAAAATAAAACATATTTAAATAAATATGACTATTCATTACTACAATGTGGTATTGTGGTAACTTAAGTTCAAAACTTGAACATGAATTACTATGATTTCATTACTACTCTAGTCATTAGTCATATTTTTGTAAATCATCTTTATTTTGATCATATTTATGTAATTATTTCTATAAAGAAATATTTCTGAGCCTTGCTATTTTCTTGGGCCTAGGGCTATGTCCCGGTTGCGCCCCTAGGACCGGCCCTGGATGAACCCCCACAGTGTAGGGGCATGACTGGTGTCAACTGCAGCGTACGGGACGATGGCAACCGCAGTGTACAAGGACGAGTGGACGACAATCTGGGTGTGGCGACATGGAATCGTAGGCGATGGCTTAGAGGCAGCGACATGCAATCCACAAGCTGGAAGCGGTGATGTAGAATCGGAGCCACGATATGGTGGTGCAACCTCTTGCCTCCGCCGCATCTTTGTCCTTCTTTGTCGTTGGAGGCTTAATTGGAGCTGGGAAGATGAACAACTTGGGAGATGGAGAGATTTGTGCGGACAACTTTGGAGATGGAAAGGGTTGGGCGGCCGAACAAGGTTACAGACGTTTGAGACTTCCAACTCACTTTTTTGTCCTTTCCTAAATTAGTCACATTTATGTCTAATGAAACCTTATAAGCTACCTATATTTAGGCTGTGTTTGTCATGCATAAGTCTTCGACTTCTAATTTTTATACTATTTAAAAAGTCTTTAAAACTTCCAGTTGTATGTTTGGCATGCCATTTTTAAAAGTTTTTATAAAAATAAAAGATCTTTTTTGAGATGCTATAGTGACTAGCATCTTAGATAAGTCAGTAACTTGTAGTATTAATTAGTCTTAACAGCTTGTATACCAAACAAAGCTAAATCAAACGGTCAGCTTTTTACCAAACATGTACTGCATTTTCTTTTTAAGATCTTTTCAGTCACTAGAAGCTAACAATTACTAAAAAGCCCATAAAAATATTTTTTCAGCTAGTTGTGCCAAATGTACCCTTAGACCATTATTTGAAAAAGATATATACACTCTCTCCGTTCCATTGAGATGGTTTCAACCTTCCTTTTCGGTTCCTTCCATTAAGATTATCTTATATAAAATGGAATAAAATTTGCGTGTTTCTAAATCATTCATGTTTTATTCTTACTTACCAATTCAATACCAATCACATAAGTTCAATTTTTCTCATCAATTGTGCCCTTTGCTCACATCTCAGTGCTAGAAAGACGAAGGTAGTACTAATCAACACCTCCACGTGTCATAACTTTATTATTACTAAACCAACGTTAAGTAGAGAGGCATGTTGGGGCTTGCTAAGGAATTTTATCAATCTAGTATGTGAAAGATAGATAAATTATCAATCCGAGAACTAAAAGATGAAATGTGTCAGTATATGAGTCGAAAGATGAAAAATTATCCATCTAGGACCTAAATTTCATAGATTTTGATTTATGTATTTTTCTATTGATTTTATCGCTAATATTTGATGGATTTTTCTTCACAAGGGTTTATTAGTTTAATAAGACTAAATAATATTTAATTTTTAAAATAAAATAATAATAAAATTTATGACAACTTAGGCCTCATATTGATAGTTTTCAATTATTCGAATCCTATATTAACATTTTCAATCATTTAGGTTGTATATCGATACATTTAACCTTTCAAGTACATTTGTTTCTTTTTTCTACCTTTACATGATTTTCTTTAACAAAATGTCTTTGTTATTCTAATAATTAAGGGAACAAAAATAGAAAAAAGGAAAAAAAATCTGAAATTAGAGTAAAACATTTGAAATATTGAAAAAGATTTGTGATGTTTTTATTTCCTAAATAAGAATAACTACTGTCATATTTTGACAATATCAAACTTCAAACATAATACTCCCTCCGTCCCAATTTGATTTGCAAAATTTCCTATTTTAGTTGTCTCAAATTTTTGGGACTAAGGCTTGGATGTTGTTCTTGTTTGTAGTTGTCCCAAAATGGTTTTCCATTTTCTATTTTAGGTATGTAAATAAGAATAAAGTGAAAACTTTCACAAATTATAAGGTGCAACCGGCGCACCATGAGGATGGTGCGCCCGGTTGCAAAACGACGCAACATGGCTGTTTTTTTTTTATTTTATTTTGCTTTTGTTGTTAAAAAATGATAATATCTTTTTTATTTTTGATCCGATTTTTATAAAATTTATATCAACATTTTTTATTTTTCATGATCTTTCAAATGAGACCTATATTGCTAATGTAATTTTAAGAAATTATCAAACTATTATATTAATGAGTATTAGATTATAAGGAAAATCAAATCTGTTTGGGAGATGATAGGTTTGTGAAATAGAAGATCGAATCTATTTGGGAGTGGATCAGTGGCCTTAGTTACATTTGATAATACATTGAGTTACATCTTTTTATGAGTGAGTTACATCTTTTTATAAGCAAGTTACATTTTTTATAAGTGAGTTACATCTTTTTATAAGCAAGTTACATCTTTTTATAAGCTAATTACATATATATACACACGAGTTGCATTTGACATGTCTGAACGTGAGTTACATATATTTACACGTAAAGTTACATATTTTTACACGTAAAGTTACATATTTATACATACGAGTTACATATTTATACACACGAGTTGCATGTGACCTGTCTGAACGCGAGTTACATATTTTTTTACGTAAATTTACATATTGTTACACGTAGAGATACATATTTATACACACGAGTTGCATTTGGCCCGACTGAACGTGAGTTACATATTTTAACACGTAAAGTTACATATTTTACACGCAAATGTTAATATGTTAAAATTACATAGGCAATATTGGTCTCATTTGAAATATCATGAAAAATAAAAAATGTTGATATAAATTTTATAGAAATCGGATCAAAAATAAAAAAGTTATTACCATTTTTTAAAAAAGAGAAAATAATATCGAATGGGTGCATGGTGCTCACCATGCACCTGTTGCACGGTATACGCACTGGACAACTTTACCCTTACTTTTACTTTTTTCCCATTAATTTAAAGACATCTACTTTTAGAAAGATTGACAAAAATGTACTAGTAAAAAACAAGAATCATTATTGTTAATCCTTAATCCTTGTGTCGGTCAAAGTTTGTAATTCAATTCGGGACGAAGGGAGTAGTATTTTGCAAATTTGACAACGGTTACTCTTATTAAGGAAACAAAACATACTGCCTCCGTCCCAAATTGATTTGAAAAGTTAACATTTTATTATTAACGAGTGCTAAAGTTAAATCCTTCATATTGATAAATTCAATTTTTAATATTTAAAATTCAAAAATGATGTTTGTACACACTCTTATACACACTTTTGTACACACCTATGTCTGTGAAAGCTTTTCTTTTTGTCTGTGAACATCGATTCATAGACAATGTTTTGCACAAACAAAATATTGTCTGTGAACCTGGATTCACAGACAAAAAAAAGCTTCACAAACATGGTGTGTATAAGGTGTGTACAATGGTGTGTACATCAAACATGGTTGTTTAAAATTTACATAATTAGAATTTACATTAGAATCTCTTTAAAGTTTTAAACGTCAAATTAGAATACAATAAAAAATTGGCATCCTAATTAAGTGAATAAAAAGAAAGTGTTTAACAAAAAAATCCATTTTTCAAATCAATTTTAGAGGAAGTTTTTTTTGTTTTTGTATATACAAACATTTTTACTCTAATGCTTTATGCGGTGAAAACCAACACACCCCATCCTCATTCATCTGGGCAGGCGCAAAAAAAACATGCGATGCATAATGTGAATAATAATAGGACTGAAAAATGAAATTCACAAAAACTCAAATTTTATTTTGTCAAGTGGAATGTTTAGCGGATCAGTGAAAATCAACACCCCCATCGGCATTCATCTGAGCAAGTGCCGCGTCAATCTCACGCTTCTGGATTCGACCACTGAAACTCACTCTCGAGTCTCGTTTTCGAGTTTTCATGGCCATGGTTAGATCTGGGAAACGAGACTTGCATAGTTACACCATTAGAGGCACGGATAAAGTTGTTAAAGGTATACGAATATCCATGTCTTTGTGTTTATAGCTCGCTAACCCATAGCTGCTTTCAAAGTTTTTTTCGCGTCTTCAAAACGTTTTAATGTGATTTTTGGAATTGATTTAGAATTTTTTATGAGCTATACTAAATATTTTCTACAAATCTGAACCTTTTTATCCTATTTAATTAATATAATTCTTTCCTTTCTGAATCTTTATAATGTGATGGTTGGCGGTCTGATATGAAGAATTCTTATGTTCTCTTATAAAAAACTTATTATACTAGTATATGGTTCTAGTAACTCTCTTGTTTTTAATACTCTATATGTCAGCAATTTTCACTATTTATATTTTGCTTTTAACTAAAAAACGGCTCCTGCTTCAATTAACCAGATTTTGTGGGAAGATGCTATGGGCTCAAAGTCTTACTCCCTCCGACCCCCTACAGTGTTTTATTTTTTCCATTTTTGGATGTCTCGGTATCATATTTTGTAACATTTGTGTGGCTCTAATTTATTCTCAATTTATTCTCACTTCATTAACTCATGTTTTTAATTCAATTACTATAATTCTACTTTTCTTGAAAACCACTCGACTCCTTTCCGTCCCAATATTAGGGGGAGGGAGGTAGTACAATTTTGTTTGTTGTTCTTTTCCTTTCCGCTGTGTAAAACAAATTATTTAAAGATGAATATAGTAATTGATATTAACATCGTAATTATAAATACGTTGCTATTAGTCTATTACTATAGCCAGCATATTAACTATTATTATTATTATTATTTTCTAAACAATAATAACTTCAACACTTATAAATAAGAAAAAGTTAATAATAAAGTACTAAAACAAAATATATCAAAACAAATACTACGTATATCATTTGTGAATGTAATTAAAGTACATTTTCTTATGATGGAAGAGTTGTACGTAGTAATAATTGTTATAAGTAATAATTGTAAGAATAATAAGAATAAGATGTAGTAACAATAAATGAACTAGTTAATTTTGCTAAATTATGAAAAAATTATATTTAAAATATATCACATCCGTCCCATTTTATATGTTTTGTTGGTTCGACACAATTATTAATAAAGTGGTTGAAGTAAAAGTCGTGTTTGAGGTTTGAGTTAATAAAGTACATTATGTGGACTGCACATTTCTTTCCGAAAAAGGAAAGAAGACACCTATTTTGGGACTCCAGTAAGACACAAGGATGGAAGGAGTATTTTATTAATAAAATGAAGAAAAGTTATATGAAAAAATAGCTAAATGGTCCTCTACAGTCACTCCAGTAAACTCAATCAGAAAAGTAGCTTCAACCTTACTTATTTCGACTATTACACAATTCAGCGAGCGAAATCAAAGTTACATGTTTGGTAAAATAGTTGGTCTGTTGATTTGTAAGACTTGTATGCTGAAAATAAGGGTTACCAAATGGGATGTAAGAATCATTACTCATACAACAACAACCAAACTCTAATCACAAGATTTGGGGTCCACTAACATGAAATAACAACAATAATGAAATAATAAGACTCCCTCTATCACACTATCTTTTTGTCTCATCTTTCCTTTTCTTGTCTCATCTTTAATGAGTTTGCTACTTTTCACGCCTTCAAAGTTAGTGTGACAGAGGTAGTAATATTTATTAACATTAACACATAACAATAATGATAAATGAGAGCATTTACAGAATGAAATGATGAAGGCGGCGCTGAAGAATAGCACTCCATTCACTCTACTATTTTGTCTGATTTTATTTTTTCATCGATCCCACTAACTTTATTTTACCATATTTGGTAATACTTGTATGTTTAAATTCATTCGTACTTAAAAAATTCAATACCATTTAACCACATTGATCCACTCTTCTTAATATATGTATTGTTTACTCATGTCCTAAAGGCAATGGGAAGGAGGTAGTAATCACTATAGTAACTGTAAAGTAGTAACAGTAACATTAAAATATTTGAGGTAATAAGCTTTGTGAAATATAATACGTAGTATATGTTAGGTCGTGTATGTGGTGATATTTTGCAGTTGTCTTTGAACTGATGTAAATGTTACTAATATGATTTAATCTGAATCTATTATATTAATAAACATTAATATGATATCTTCTTATTAGGCTATTCATTATAATCCATAGTTATTTCTCAAGTGTTATTGAGTAGCTTATTTTTTAGTAGTGTAGTAGTGATTAGTGAAGCCTTATTATTAGAGGATGGCGCATGTGTGTGTGTGTGTATTAAAAACGTTTGTTCTACTTTAAAGTTGATATGGTTAAATCATCCCAAACTAACCAAATATATAAATATGGTTCTAGAATGGAGAACTAGAACCAAATCAGTCCTTGTCCAAGCCTTCATTGGACTACTCTTCTTTTGGCCTTTTGGATAAAACCCGTCTTAATATGACATCGGAGCCAGTTATGTTTAAATGAGCAACTGTCCAACTAAGAATTCATGA